TTCCCATGGTAAGGGACAGCCTTCCCCACCCGAGGCCCTGCCCCAACATGAAGCAGCGTCTCCATGGCAGAGGCGTGCCCAGCCCCTCCCCACAGAATCCCCAGTTCTGCTTTGGGGAGCGGCCTACAGGTTGGGCAGACACAGGGCTATTTACTCAGTGACTCTGGAGATTATATATCAAAGAGACCTGAATCTCATTTACAAACAGGGCAAAGGTGTGTCTGAGGAGGCCTTTTTTTCCAAGCTAGAAAAAAAAAATAATCTGATAATCTGAAAAGGTGAAAAAAACTTGGGGGAAGCCTGCACTGGCCCAGTTTTTCCTGCCTGTGGTTTTATTCTCACTGAGCCTTCTCCGCCCACCCCACTCCCCCCGTCTCCCACATCCACTGCTCTCCTAGGGAAAGAGCCAGCAAGCCACCACCCTACTGGAGTTTAAGGGGATCCTATTTGTGTCTCTTCTCAAGAGACGCTCCTAGTGTACTTGGGATCCCAGGTGCCTGAGTTTCAAAGAAGAGACACACAGCATTCCCCTTCCTTTTGCCAGCTGAGGGCATGGGGTCAAGGGAAGGAAAGTGAACATTCGTTAAATGCCAACCACAGCAGGCTAAGTGCTGTGCTGGATGCTTTATATTTACTATCTCACATAACATACAGTCTGCTGGGGGACGCTCTCAAATACACAGGAACACAAAGCCCTGAGGGCCCACGCGGGCATGCCACCTGCCTGGTTATTCTGAGTCTGTGCTTGGGACATGCACGGGGAGGGCCCCTCAACTGAGTGACGCTGGTAGCCAAGGTCGCTGGCTGGACTAGGAGTAGAAAGGAGGCAAAAGAGGAGTCAGAAATCAAAAGGGGAAGGTGGGTGAGGATTTGCTTAGATTTTCTTTCACACTCCTAGGGAACTTCCTTTCCCTTCCTTTCCACCAATTACAGCTGCCAGGAAGAAAAAGGAAAAGTTAACTAGCAACTAGGTCATAGCCTGAACTAACTCACTTTTCCTAAGGGCCTTTAAAAAGGCCACTTACTCACTCAGTCACTTTCACTGAGCACTAATGTTGGATGGAGTGGGAGACAGGAAGAAGCATGTGGTCTCAGCCCTCACCTGCATCGCCAGCGTATGAAATAGAAATCTGGAGATACTCAGGTTGAGGCCAGTCTTGGAGAGGGGTAGCACTGTTCCTTTATTCCCAGGGCACTCCCCAAAAATGAGAGGGTTCTATGGGACATAGTTTGAAAACCACTAACTACTTAGAGCAAAGGGGACCAGGAGGCATCATCTGAAAAATATTTGGCAAAGTCAGAAACTGAAGCAGACAAGGAGCTGGATGAGGTGTGCCAGATGGATAATTTTAAGGTTGAGTCTTCCTGGAGACCAGCAGTGTTGACTGCCCAGTCTAGGTTCCAAACCACCAGTGAGCTCTTTTCCCTCCACAATTTGCTGATGAGAATCTTCCTATCTGTAAACTTCAGCTTCACCTTCCCTCCCACTGTTAACAGCTCCTGACAGCATCCAAGGCTCTCTCCTCTCACTTTTCCCCAAGATCAAAGAATTAACTTCTTGGCCAGACAGGGTGGCTCACCCTGCTGGCTCCCAGCACTTTGGGAGGCCAAGGCAGGACGATTGCTTGAGGCCAGGAATTTGAAACCAGCCTGGGCAACATAGCAAGACCCCGTCTCCACAAAAAAATAGAAAAATTATCCAGGCGTAGTGGCACATGCCTATAGTCCCAGCAATTCGGGAGGCTGAGGCAAGAGGATCGCTTGAGCCCAGGAATTCAAGGCTGCAGTGAGCTATGATTGTGCCACTGTACTCCAGCCTGAGTGGCAGAGTGAGACCCTGTCTCAAAAAAGAAAAGAAAAGAATTAGCTTCTCTTAGTTTATAGCTAAGGAAACTGGCCAACTCAGAGAGACTGGAGTTTGACACCTCCGAGATGGGACAGCTCCCCTCCTGGCCATGCAAAATAATTTCATCTGATCCTGACCCAGCCTTCTCTTTTCACCCCCTGGGACCCTCCCTGGAGGAGCAGAAGCAGCATTTTTTACCATCTTTTTCCAAAGTAGGGTGCTATGATTTGGGGGCACAAAATTAGATAATTTCCAACCTTTAGGATTAGCCTAGGCCATATCCTTTTCAGCTCAGTACCTGGGGCCTCAAGGAAGAACTCAACCCCAGCACCAGGTCACACCCACCACCTAGTCTTGAAAGGGGATTGCCCCGTTTGTTTGGGAGTGTCTCCTTAGCTGTGGTCTCTGCCCCAATGGCTGCTCCATGACTGGTTTTTGTCCCCGATAGCAGTCCTCGGATCTTTTAGATCAGCCTTCCCATGGTCAGCAGAACAGGCAGACAGGAAGGTGAAGGTGTGGAGGCATCTGCTGCCTGGCTGAAGGACCCTCAGATTAAGTTTTGTGTCCCCATTTATCTCCTAGGAGCTTTGCCTGACAAAGGGGATCTGATGCATGACCCAGCCATGGACGAGGAGCTGGAACGGCTGTAAGTGTCAAGTGGGAAGATGCTGCCCCCTTGTGGAGGCCAAACCACAGTGGGACATGGCCATGCCCCCTCATGGGTCTGCAGTACTTGCCTGTAACACCCTGAATTGGTCAAGGAAGGGTATGGGGGCCAGCAGAGGCCTAAGGTGTCCTCTTTGAGTTCTCTGGGTCTATAGCCCATGGGTTCACCCCGGTGCAAGAGTGAGCATGGAGGTCCTGGTCTCTGGCCAGGAGGCACCTCACTGCCCTCTGGGCTTCTTCCTCCCTCCTTCAGGCTGGTCCAGGTCCCAGGCCTGATCAACTCAGTCACTGCCAGCCCAGAGGCCAGCTGCCTGCCTTCCCGGACCCCTCCCCGGGTTGGCTCCCCTTGGAGACCCCTGCATCACTCCCGAAAAGTGGATGCAGAGAGCGATGGCTCCACTGAAGAGACAGATGAGTCCGAGACTTGAGGAGTCTGAGGGTCCTGCCTACAGCGCCCTGTACCCTGCTCCCACACTAGCTAGCCCTTGGTGCTCCCATCCAGTCTCCTCTCCAGCGCCCTGCCATGCTGCCCTCTGCTGGCGAAAAGGCTGAATAACAGCCCCAGCCCTAAGACTTGCCAGAGAGGTGCTAGATCAGCCAAGCCAGTGACCCTAGAAAGTTAACGGCCTGTTCTCCCTGGTCCTGTCAGCCTTTGGGTGCTAGTCAGGCCCCAAGGCTGACAGACTGCTGAGGCCACTTCATCACTAGGAAGGGGACTTGGCCTTAGCCTTTTGTTAACAGTCCTAACCTTTTGAGGAATAGCAGTATCTTCTCAGCCAACCTCTGCGAGTCCCCTGGTAAGGTTCATTTCACAGCAACTCCATTAAGGGGGAGAACATGAATAGCCATGCAGGGCCTTGCATGGTCAAGGGTGACACCTGAGATGCAAGTACTGGGAGGACATAACCACTGTGGCCATCTTCTGGAGGACAGCCACTAGCCATGATAGGACGGAGAAGGGTGGGCAAGAAGACACTTTCACTTTCAAAACCTGCTTCAAGTTTCCTCTGTCTAAGAGTTAAATATGTGAAATGAATAAAGTCCCTTGTGTCTGGTAAGTGGTGAGTCTAAAGCCACTAGGCTGAGAGGACGAAGGGAAAGGGGTGAGTTTGGGGTTTTGGTGCCTATCTGGCAGGATCAGGAGGTGGGGGCAGTGGCCCACTCAAGCCTGGAGACCTGCCTCACATAATGAGCAGAGTGGCTTAGCTCCTACGCCCGAGATCAGACTTTCAGGGTGCTCACAGCTGAACAGGCCTTCAGTAAACAAGCTCAGAGGGTTCAAGGCCAGGTTAAGAACCTGGCCACAAAGGGTTAGCATGGCCTTCTAGCCAAGGTTTCATTAAACATTTGCCAAGCACCTGCTCGGAGTTGGGGCAGTGGGGATGCAGCTGTGAACAAAGCACAGGCCTGAGGTGTACGCGCCTCCAGCCAAGACCAGAGGAAGGTTAGGCCAAGGGTCTTCAACTTCCTTGAACTGGGGTGGGGTGGGGTGGGGGATCCTCCACAAAGTAAAACCCACTCAGGGGGCCCAAGCAGAACAAGATGCCGCCTCTAAAGCCGGCTGTCACAGCTGGGCACACACATTTTCCTGGGCTCATCCCCACCCAGACCAGCCCCGCTGGATAATTACAGGAACTGGCTCCCAAAACCCTTGCAGGGCCTAGGCCAGGACTGGGCGTTCCAGTCCCAAAGAAGCTCCAGGTCCACAGTCGTCTCCGGCCTGCAGCCCATGAGAACAGTTCTCAAATGCATCAGAATCACAGGGAGGCTTGTTTGACAACGCAAATTACCAAGCTCCAGAGTCCAACTCTACCAGCTTAGGATGGAGTCCAGAAATCTGTATTTTTAATGAACGCTCCAGATGATTCCAAAGCTGGAATCTCAGACCTATACTTTGGAAATCACTGGCTTAGAGCCCCATGGCTCCTTCTACCCATCCTTCCTAGTCATCCACTTCCCAGACCAGTGACTTTTAACTGTGCCCTGAGGACTCGGAAGGTGGCATAGAGATCTTTCAGAAACCGCCCCCTAAGGCCCAGCCAGGGGTTAAAACACACACACACACACACACACACACACACACACACACTCCTGAATTTAAAAGGGTTCCATTAAAGTCTGAATATTTTAAATATTTTTTTTTTAACTCCACTGAGAAACACCTCCCCCGTCAAGTTCCCGTTGTGAACAGGGGCAGGGCTGCTCAGCTTGCTCGCCTGTCCTCAGCCAGACGAGTTCAAGGGCCAACTAATACCAGCTCTTTCCTCCGCGTGCAACAGGGTGGTGAGGTCGAGGCTGCACTGGACCTCGCGGCAGCACAGGGCCAAGCAGCCAGGGGCCTTTGGCTTTCAGAGAAGAGACAAGCCGGAGGCCCTGGAGAGAGTGCCCTCAGCTTCGGTACCAACACTCTACCCATATCGGTGGGAGCCCAGAGAGTGAGGCGAGGGGCCCACACTGGGCAGGGAGGCAGGATCCAGAGAGGACACTACTGCATTCAGACCAACAGGGACCCAGGGCCCTGTGGGGACTTTATTTTGACACCACTTTGTTTCAATACAAATAGTCCAGAAAGAAAGTCACGTCCCTCTGGGGGAGGGGGAGGGGAAGAGTGGTCTGTGTTGCTGGGGAGTCCAACCTACAACCCGAAGGTGGAGGTTGGGCCCAGACTGCCAGTATGGCAGGGGAAGATGGCACCAAGAATGACACAGTGCATGGCCCAGCTGCCAGAGGGTGAGGCCTGCAGCTCTGTAGGCCCTCAAGCTCTCGCCGGTGGGGTGCTGTCCAGGCCCCCCTAAGCCGAGGAAGAAAGTTGAGCCCCAGGAGCCTGCTTCTATCCCTCACGTCCTCTGCTTCCTTGGCCAGTATCACACTCACAGCATCCAGAGTCAGGACACGGCAGAGGAGATCCACTATGGCCACCAACCAGGGGAAGGAACAGGGGAAAGTCTCGGGAGGGGACAGAGGGTCCTGTGGTCCACAGTAGATGGTATGGCAGGACTCTGAGACACCTAGGAGAAGTAATCCTCCAAGTGGGATTACTGAAAAAAGGGGTGGTGATACAGGGATCACTCAGGCCTCCAGTCTGATCCTAAATGAAACCTTTAGGTACCAGGTAAAGTTTCTAGCCCTTGGTAAGGCCCAGATGAAGATCCTTCCCCTCCCCTCCCCTCTCCTGGTACCCAGAAGAGGCTCCTAGCAGCAGCAGCAGCAAGTCCATGGCCTCTCTCCCCTGGGGGACTGGTCTATAGTAGAACTCTTCCTAGGCCTCCCCCTGGTTCCAGAGGTCGGAGGCCCAAGCCCTCAGACTACCTAGAAGGATCCCAGAGCCAGCAAACATGCTTCACACTTGTCACTTTCCCTACTTGAGGAAGGACTGGACCTAGAATGAGCCATCCCAAGAGAACTCCCTCCCCTCACTCCCAGTGTGGCAGGACAAGTGAGCAGCAGCTGTGGGGGCAGAATTAGGAGGACAATAATCTGGCACACAGAGGAGGGGGTGTGAGGGTAAGAGAACAAAGGGCTCAATCCACAGGCAGAGGACAAGGGCTGGTACTGACCATTTCCCTCGCCCAAGGTCCTCTAAGGCCACCCCACTCACACACCACATGTATAAAGTAACAAATCCTCCCCGGCTTCCACAAGGCAAGCATCCCTGGCCTGGGAATCATGGGCTTCTGGCTGCTGTCACCACCATACACCTGAGCCATGGAGCTTGCATCAGTAGGAACCATAGCGATCCTGGGCGTGGGGAGAGAAAAAAAATGAAGTCAGAGTCTCTAACTGCAGCAGCTTCCCTGCAGGCACACTCGTCTCCCCACACACCCCCCACAGCAGGATGGGACGGACCACAGGGGCTGGGCACCACCGCAAGGCGGGAGTACACAGGAGAGCTGGGGCAGGTGGCACTCAGGCCCAGTCAAGGAGGAAGCACTACCAGATCTCACAGAAGCTGGGCAGGGAAGAGAACAGGTAGTACAGGTGACAAGAACAGGGGAAAATCAGTGCAGACATGGCATCTTCTTAGAGAGAGGCCCAGCCCTGGTACAGAACTGAAAGGAAGGAATCTGCCCTTCTAAGGAAAGAAAATGCTCTAACTGAGAGAAGCTACCCATGAGCTGTGTCTAAATGTGGCGAAGGAAACCTCCAAGCACTACTCGGTAGGCCCCTCCCCAAGTCAAGTGGCCCCAGCCTCACCTGCAACGAATTCATCACACCGTTGGCCAGCACAGCCATTTTCCCAGCCACAGACTTAACACCCTGCTTAAACTGGGCAATGTCAGCCGTAGGGAGCACATTCCCCAGAGACACACTTCCTGTAAAAGCAAGGGAAAGGGTGACCCAGAGCCCGGCAGGGGCCTCCCGCTCTGCTCACAGGCACGGTGTGGTGCCCCCCACCCCGCTGGGGCCCTACCTGCTCCATGAGCTCCATCCATCTCCCCAAAGAGGTCTGAAGAGCTGATGGCGCTGCTGCCTGAGAGCTGCTGTAGCCGAGACCTGGCTTCATACTGTGGCGAGGAAGAGGCAAGGCCTGGGAATGCTGGCCGATAACCCAAGGACTCACAGAGGCCAAGCCACCCTGACGCCAAAGCCCAAAGCAGTGGCAGGGAGAAAACTCTTGCTTCTGCCTGCTGCCTCCAGCCTCAGGGTAGACAATTCCACTTACCTCAGCATCCACCTCCCGCCCAAAGAACATGTCGGACGAGATGGCTTTGGCTCCTGCAAATTTCTGACGTGCTTCACTGGACTCGAGGCCTGAGGTCCGGCTTTCCACTTCCCTCCGGTTTGTGGCTCTGAAGGGTAGACATGGAACATCTCTGACCCTTCCCATTACCGTCAGGGGAGGTAGAGTACAGAGGCCAAAAAAAGCACCAGTGGCCTTCTGGAGATGGCAGTTTCCAGGCCCCATTCTGTCTGTGGCTCTGGGACTCAGGGACCCTCTTCCCGGTGAGAAGCCTCCAAAGGGATCCTATGAGGCCCCTCCTTTCTCCACACTGAAGCCAAGGCACAGAGAACTGACTTGCCCACACCAGACAGGGTGGGAACAGAGTTTGGAGGAACCTAGCCCCTGCCCCAAACCACTACAGCTTCGTCAAGGTCCGGGAGGCCATATCGTCACTATTGCTGCCCTACTCCTAGTCACAATTTGCCTAACATCAGGGTGACCATATGTCTCAGTTTGCCTGGGTTTATACCTACTCTTGTCATAACTAGTAATAGCACAGACACACCCCCACCCTTACTTTTAAAAGGATCAGTGCGTAAATGAAAAGGTACACAGCCGTGCTATCTAGCACTAATGGTGCACAGACACCGGGCTAGGTGTTTTTTAAGTGTCATTACATTTAATCCATCCAGCCACCCTGTGAAATAGTTACTTATGTCCCCATTTTACAAATGTACGATTTACAGATTAATTTATCACTAAATATTGCTCAGATTAAGATGGAATAGGTTTTAAAAAAAATGAGTAAGATAGGGGCCAGAGACACATAACCCCTGGGAGGGAGGTCAGGACTGAAGCATAAAATCAGGGCCCTCCTGCCAGAGAAACGGATCCCGAGCAAAAGAGGCTGCCATGACCCTATGATGACAAAGCACAGCTCAAATCAAAGTCTAATCCCTGCGCTGTCTAATGGGGTAGCCGCTGGCCACGTATGGCTATTTATGTTTATTAGAATTATATCAAGTTACATTAGAAACTCATTTCCTCAGTTGTACTAGCCACATTTTAAGGACTACAAAGTGCAACAGCCACAAAGCTAGTGGCTATCATATTGAAGAACACAGACACAGAAGATTTCTATCATCACAGAAAGTTTTACTACACAGTGCTGCCCTAGACCACTCTACCTTTCTGAAATAGGCCGGATGCTTGAGATGGTCACTTCTGGCTCCTTCTCCTCTACCCTGTCCATACCCCAGGCAGCATCTGTATCCCAGCGGGAACCAAAACTTTCCCCCAAGGAAAAAGGGTTGTCCTTGTACCTAGGAAGACAGTAGAGTGGCTCAGAGAAGCCTGATGAGGAACACGGTAACCAAGTCTACCCCCAACCATAGCCTTACTTTGGGGGTCCAGAGGCGAAAGTACCAACATCATCAAACAAGTCCAGCTGCGAGCGAGAGGATTTTGCACTCACTGGGGTTTCCTGCTCGATCACCTGCATCTCAGACAGCACCGAGTGGGAGACAGAGCTGTACAGAAAAGCAGAGCCAGGCATAAGCCAATGGTGAGCGTTAGCATCACTGCACAAACTATGATGCCCAGCTGCAACCTCAAACTCCTGGGCTTAAGCAATCCTCCTGCCTTAGCCTCACAAATAGCTGGCACTATAGACACTTGCCACCATGCCTGGCTAATTTTTCTATTTTTTTGTAGAGACAGAGTTTCGCTCTTGCTCAGGCTGGTCTTGAACTCCTGGCCTCAAGTGATCCTCCCACCTCGGCCTCCCAAGGTGCTGGGATTACAGGCATGAGCCACCACGCCCGGCCGAGATACTCAATTTTTTTAAGAGATCAAAAATCTACTATTACTAGCCAAGCACATTGGTTCATGCCTATAATCCCAGCCACTCGGGAAGCTGGGGCAGGAAGACTGCTTAAGCCCAGGAGTTTGAGGCTGCAGTGAACTATGATTGCACCACTGCACTCCAGCCTGGGTGACAGAGCAAGAAAATCTATTACTGAAATTTCTTGTTAACTCACAGTGTTAGTTCAAACAAAATGCATCAGAGAGCTTGTTTGCAGTCCTTGTTTTTGTTGTTTAAGAAAAACCACAGCAACATAAACCCAGTGGTTCTGAAATAAGGATTCTGCCCAACTCAGGGCATTTGAAATGGGGGTGGGAGGCCTTTTGGGGTATTATAGTATTTGGTAGCATAACTAACGTTTAATAAATAGGGATTAGGGACGCCAAAAGCCCTGCGATTCTCAGGGAGGTCTTGAAAAATAAAGAACTGTCCCACCACTCAAAGTGCCATTAAGAAACACCACCTTTATCTCAGATATACTGAAATAGCACCTGATCCTATGTTTCATTCATTCAACAAATACTTACTGCACACATACCTACTATGGGCCAAGCACTGTACTAGGTGCTTTAGGACAGTAAGCAAAGTGATGTATTCAGCCTTGGAGAAAGACTAAGCCTAGAATCCCAAACTGCTGGGAAGACCCCAAAACGGTTCTCAGAAACAATGGCATTTCCCCACCACACTCGGAGCTGAGCCTCACCTTCGTGATACCAAGCCCATGCCCAACCTCTCTGCCTGCTCTCGCTTCTTCCCTTCCAGATTCTGTAGCTTCTTCTCCTCTTTTTTACGATCAATCTGGAGCTCCTGGTAGGCCAGACGCATGGAGGCAACCCTTGGAGGGAACAAATGTGTCAGAGGCTAGCACCCATTCTGACCTGCCCACCCGCCAACCCTCATACACGCCAGAGGCCCCTACAGCAAACACTTACATGGACTCTTCAGCCTGTTTCTTGGCATCAGCTGCCTGCTGCTCACGGAGCTTCTCTGCCACCTGGGCCTGCCGCTCAATCTCGCTGAAGCTCTGGCTGCTCACCTTCTGAGCCCCGAGGCCCTTCTTGGCACCCAGCTGGGAAGAGAATCATGTGATATGAGGCCTTGCCAACCACAATCTCCTCTGATCTCTCCCACACCTGGGCACTCTAGCCACACCCAACAGGAAGGGGTCCTTCCTAACGTTTAGGGTAAAAAAAAATAGGAGCCCAGCCAGCATGGCCAAGAGAGAACAGTGAGTCTGGTCTGCTGGAGCTGGGCATAAGGTAACTCGCACAACCCCAGCATAGCCTCAGGGTGAGGACAACAACAGTTAAAGCCTACTACGGCCTGGTACATGCCAAGCACTCTGCTGAGTACTAAATGAGCTCCATTTCACTGACTCCTCCCAGGAACTCCTTGAAAATAGCCACCCTGAAATCCCTTTCATAAATAAGGTTCAGAGACATGAAGTACCTCTGCCAAAGCCACACAGCCAGTAAGTGGTAAGGTCAAGGGGTAAACCCAGGCAGCCTGAGTCCAGCTCCTAACACCTCTACCACACTGCCTCTCCCCACCTACCCCTTTCTTAGCTGCTGCTGGCTTCTTCTTGCCAATGATGGAGGTTTTCAGTTCTGCATGAGAAAGAGGGTTGGCATGAGCTGAGACAAAGGAAGGTCAGAGGCAGCAACTCAGTCACACCATGCAGTTTCATGGCAAAAGCTTCTAAAAAGAAACAGCTTCAGGCAGGGAAAGGCAAAGCTGCCACCACCAGTTCCAACCAATGGCATCCAAGCCAAAGACAGACAAGGTTAGGGGAGGTTACTGACTTCCAGCAGAGTGAGACAGGAACCTAGACCTGAAGCACCAGAGACAGTCAAAGTCCCTGAACCAAAATGAAGACTGCAAGGCAGGGGCAAATGCCAAAAACTAGCCTCAACTCCTAGAGCAGAGAGCTGGCGTGCAAGGGCCAGGTTCCCTAGGCAGCTCTTAGTTACCTCTAGCAGGAAGGGCCCCTTTAGCTGACAGATACATGGACTCTGTAGGAGAAACAGACTTGTGGCTAACAAAGGGCCCACCCAAAGCCTCCACATAGCTCCCAAGCCCAGGGGCCTCTACGGAGCCCTGCTTCAGACCAAGCTATGCCAGCCTTCTCAACAGATCAGTTTGCCAGTCACTCTGCTGGCTTCCTGCCCCAACCTCAAGAGTCAACAGAACAAACTGAGGTTAGCAAATGGATTGTTCACCCTGAACCAAGTCTGAAGGACACTAAGGAAAGAGTAGAAAGAGTTAAAGGACAGGCTGGGGACTGGCTAAGACAATGTCATCTCCAGCCATCACCAGTTCAGAGTTGCCCCTCCACCCTGTGAAATGGACCAGGCAAGCCAGCCCTGCCTCAGCCCCAGGGATAGGTGTCCAGTCTCATATTGGCCTCCCCACACTTTGGCTAGACCCAGCCCCACACTCAGAGGCAGACCCTACGCCTTCTACACCAACCCACCAAGGTTCATCAATCAATTCAAAGGGCCTGGCTCTAAAATCAATCTTGCAGCCATGATTTCCATCACAGTCACCACCCCCGAGAGGTCAGATGTTCAGTCTCCTATAGCCTCAGTCCACATGACCACGACATGAAAAGAACACGAGGTCCACCCTTTCCCAGCCACCCCACACCCCCCAGCTGGTGTACTGACCCAGAGTGGCTTTGGGTGAGGTGCCAAGCAGGTCTGTGTTCGGGCCGTGCTCTGGTTCTGTGGATGCAATGGTAAGAGTTAGGTGTAAGGCTCCCAGCTTCCTGAAACCTCCCATTAAAAGAGTCACTGGCTTTCCTCAGCTTGCCACCAGAAGAAAAAAGAGATTGATATGAATCCCAATCCATCCAAAGACATAGGAAGACTCCCGCTCCCATTCCCTTGGCCAGGTGTCCCCTTCCTAGCCCCAAGTCCTTTCCTAGAATCAGAGCACTTGGATGGAATCTGGGCTGAACTCACGTGCCAGGCCACTGCTCTCTTCAGAAGGGGCTGGCTGCTGGGTCCCTGAAGGCTCAGTGGCTGACGCATCCCAGGCAGGGGGCTGAAAAGGAGGCCAGACCACAGAAGCCTTGGTGAGCCACTCTTGCTGGCAAGGAACACCAAGAAACTACAAGTACCTTGTGAGTACAAGGTCCTACTTGAAGCCCACAAGGAAAGGAGACTGGATGTTAGCAAGTAAAATTATAATTGCTGTTCAATAAGGATAAAAGAAGCAAGAAACAAGCAGAACCTCCTTCCACTATTTACTTAGAGCCAGAGCCCATTTTTCTAATTTAAAAACAACTAACAACTATTGGGCACTTACCATACATATACCAGGCACAAGTTTAAGGGCTCCTTATATACAAACACATTTAATTATCACAACAAGTCCTATGAGGTCTCAGACACATCTCCTTTTTAGAAACTGAGGTTTTTTTTGGGGGGGGAGGACAGAGTCTTGCTCTGTTGCCCGGGCTAGAGTGCCGTGGCATCAGCCTAGCTCACAGCAACCTCAAACTCTTGGGCTGAAGCAATCCTTCTGCCTCAGTCTCCCGAGTAGCTGGGACTACAGGCATGCGCCACCATGCCCAGCTAATTTTTTCTATATATTTTTTGTTGTCCAGATAATTTCTTTCTATTTTTAGTAGAGATGGGGGCTTTCACTCTTGCTCAGGCTAGTCTTGAGCTCCTGACCTCGAGCAATGCTCCCGCCTCAGCCTCCCAGAGTGCTAGGATTACAGGTGTGAGCCACCACGCCCGGCCAGAAACTGAGGTTTTGACAAGTTAAATGATGCAGCCACAGTCACAGAAATGCTAAGTAGAGAAGCAGGGATTCCAAGTGAGAGAGTCAACTTCGGCACCTAGTGCCAGCAGAGGGGAAACTCTCCTCACAAGGCTGGGTCTCGGGGGAGGGAATCCTTTCATTGTTCCCAAGCACAGTGCCTTTCTTATAGGAGAAGAATCTAGGAAAAGTTTTCTGGGGCCCTTAATACCTGCTGAACTTTCAAGAAGCTTCCCCTCCTCCCCTCCATCCCAGCTTAAAAGGGTCTGTTTCTAAGGAGGGTCACATTGTACCCCCATTCATGAGAGAAGGAACCACCTGGGGCCTATCCAGCAAGCAGCAGTCACCAACTCAGTGGGCCCTAGACATTTTCTGTCCAAGATATCACACCAAGGCAAATGGAATCTATGTAGGTAACCACAGAAGACCTAGGCCTTGGTAAATAAACCAAGAACAACAGAGGGAAACATTCCTTGTGGGCACTCACTTGAGTATGTTCTATGAAGAAATCAGAGTCCTTCTTCTCCGGGGAGTGACTAGGAGCACTACTCATATTGTCTATCCAAAGCTGGAAGGGAGAAGGCACCCCTGAAACACAGGGCTCTGAACACTCCCACCCACCCTACTGCCCCAGCCCCAGCCCCAGGAGTGAGCACTTACATCGGTGCCATGCCTAGCCAGGGCTGCGCTCCCCAGCTGCCGGATCTTCTCCCGGTACATCTGGGCGGCTCGGCTATTATATTTGGTGTTGGCATCGTTGGCCGTGCATCCATGTTGGCGGAAAAAAGCAGTCTGCAGATCAAAGAAGAGAGAACGTGCTATGGGTGATTCTCACCAGAGCAAAAATGTACTGGCTACAGGAGGTACTCCCTTGTAACAACCTGGTTATTACTCACACAGGATGATATACTCTATTGACGCCAGCAGTTTTTCACAGAGGTAAAGTTCCTCAGAAATTCCAGCAAAAAATACCTTGCAACCTCCCATCCTGAGATGACTGACTTAAACCCAGTCCTCGCTCGACCCTGCCTACGGACAACATGTCATACTCGCTCTCTCCACCCTTCATCCAGGCAGGCCCACAACACTAAATGTGGAGGCCCCAACTCCCTTGGCTTTTCCCCAAGAACAACTGTCCAGTTTAATTTGAATTTGAAGCCCCTCTGAGAGGAGCTACGACAATTTCCAAGCTTAGAAAATAGTGTATGGTGGTGTTACAGACCAGAGAACCCTCTGAACAGGGAACCCGAGGCGGCCTCTGAGGAAGTCATGCAAAGTTAGTACCCAGGCAGAAGAAAGAGGGGTGGGGGAAGGTAGGAGGAGCTTTACCGCACTGGCATTCCCGCCGACCTGCATACACCTCAGCTGGAACCAGTTCCAGTTGGAATCCAACTCTGTGGACCTGTGTAAAAGGGCTGTGTGTCATCCACCAGCAGGCTTCCCTGGCAGACCCACACCCGTCATTTGGCCTCGGGCTGCGGCAGGCACCCAGGAAACATTTATCAGTCACCACCCATTTCCTCCACACTACTGTGTGAAAGCTGTGCTCTTCATTTATCTCTTCCAAAGGTACTAATTATTCCCCCAGATCCAAAAGGAGGTCGCATTCTCTGGCAAGCTTGGATTTGGCTTTCCCCTTAAGGATAGTCACAGTCTCACTAAAGACATACTCGGCCAATAATATATCACCAACAAGGTCAATGCAGCTAACTTTCCCCCCAAATTAACGCTCAGAGTCTCAAGTTTCACTGTCAGGGAAGAAGGGAGTTTTGACCCAGACGCGGAGAACCGTCTATGTGGCAAGAGGCCCACACCGGCAGTTCCCTCCCGTAGGAGGCTACCGGGCTCCCGGCCCGGAGGTTTCGGAACGCCGAATTCAGAGCGGTCCAAGTCGAGGCAGCCACTCGCCCTTGCTGCCCACACAGCCCTGGCTGGCCAAGTGGAAACACAGCAAGCTCGCGGAGACCCCACCTGATGAAGCTGAGATGGACGCCCAGGGAGCGGTGCACCCCAGAGCAGTCAATGCACAAGAAAACACCATACGTGATGCTGGCCCAACTCGGATTCTTGGCGCCGCAGTCGAAACAGGCCTGGGTGAAGGAGGCGACGAGCGAATGGTCACGGGCCCTGAACAGAGGCCGGGCGCTGACACCCCGGGGAAACGGCCCACCTCCGCCCTTCTCCCTCCCTCAGGCCCCGGGGGAGCGAGAGATTCCATCTCGGCCGGCGCCAGGGTCCGCGCGCCCCCTGCTCGTGTACCTTGTTGGTTGGAACTGCGCGAAGCCTCTTAAAAAGAGTCTGGATTTCGGTCTTGCTCGGTTCCGCCGCCATTTTCTCTCCTTCCCAGACACAACTGCGACCGACGGGTCCTGCCGCGGGCCAATCCACGGCTGGGAGGGCGGGCTAACCCGGCCGGCCTCGGCAGGGTCCCGGCCAGCTGAGGGGTGGGGTGTTTGGGCCCGACCTGGACCAATGGGCAGCCGGCGGAACAGGAGCGGCGACGACAGCAGCCCCGGCTCCACGGCAGCCGCGAGAATAAACGCCGCGCCGAGCCGGGCCAATCCGGAGCGGGGGCGGGGCGACGGCTCGCGGGCCGGCCCAAACCTCCTCGCGAGCGAGCGCTGCCCTGACGCCCGGTACGCCCAGAAGGTGGAGCCGCCTCGCACGCGGCGCGGGCTGCCAGAGACCCTAGTACCTCTGGCCAGCTACCGATCGATGAGTAATGATTAACAGTCGATCCGCGTACTCCTTGTCCCACCGGCCTCCCGTCCAGCCCGTCCGGCCTCCCACAACCCGGCATCAGCCACGAGCCATCATGCTCTGCTCACACCAAGCCTGATCTCGAGTCCCTTCCACCCCAGGTTAGGGTCCCGAAGTTCCAGAGCAGGTACCAAGCTGGCAAACCCTTGCCCAACCCCGGTCCTACAACACCCGCTAGGCCTCTCTCCAGGTAGCCTCTGGAGGACTGGCAGGGATGGAGTATCAAAAAGATACACGCAGGCCGGGCGCGGTGGCTCACGCCTGTAATCCTAGCACTCTGGGAGGCCGAGGCGGGCGGATCGTTCTGAGCTCAGGAGTTCGAGACCAGCCTGAGCAAGAGCGAGACCCCGTCTCTACCAAAAAATGGAAAGAAATTAATTGGACAACTAAAAATATATGTAGAAAAAATTAGCCGGGCATGGTGGCGCGTGCCTGTGGTCCCAGCTACTCGGGAGGCTGAGACAGTAGGATTGCTTGAGCCCAGGAGTTTGAGGTTGCTGTGAGCTAGGCTGATGCTACGGCACTTGCTTGCCCCAGGCAAGAGAGTGAGACTCTGTCTCAAAAAAAAAAAAAAAGATATACGCAAGCCCAACAAATAATGTGTTTGTTTTGTCAAGTTTAATACACACTAGAACAAGCCACAAAAGAGGGTGCTTCTAGCCCAGAACTACACTCCCCCCAAGCCCAGCCCAGGACCCCAAAACAGAGGCCAGGAACTGAATCCACGACTCCTGGGAGACCCAAGTGCTCCAGGGGAGGCCCAGGCGACCCTGAACCCTCCTGTCACCTCCAACCTCCATCTTGCCCTCAGCCTAGACTCAGTTGGCCCTTCCCTACCAGTGGCTTCCTAGACACAGGCCCCTCCCCTCCCTGGGTCCCAGGACTTCCACCCTCCTGAGGGAACAGACTGCGAGCAGGAGCACGGTGGTTCAGGGCCCTCAAGTCCGGCTGTCCAGGAGAAGCTGGGCTCTGACTCAGGGTGGAGAAACGTTGTGGGAGGGCTGTCAGGGCACTCAGGCACCCACACACTCCACATAATTGGCAGGGTACAGGCCAATGCGGCCACTCTGCAACTGGCCCTGGCACCAGCCCTGCTCATCCTCCTCGCTCATCTTCAGCAGCTCCTCCCCTGGGGGAAGGGGGACTGGTCACTGCCAATTGCCCTGGCCCAGCCCCCTTTCCTGCAACTGGGTCAAGGACTGAGGGGGATGGGGTAGTCCAAGAGCCCAGCTAGGAGAAGAGACATGGCTCAGGCAGAGGGCGGTTGAAGTCAGCAAGCTGCCCCACCCGAGACCCCAAACACAGCAACCAGGCCCCAGCCAGCTGGACCCAGAGCAGGCTGAACGGCCAGAGAACTGGCCTTTGAGAGGAGGGTATCTGGCTTCCCTTTTCCACACCCCCTGCTCAGTCAGGTAAGGAAGGCAGAGACTGAGGCCTGGAGAGGAGCAGGAAAGGGCCCCAGGGTACCTGCTCGGAAGCTCAGCTCATCAGCTTCCTGGCCAGCGTAGTCATAGAGCGCCCGGACCCGGACCCCAGTGGCCGCCTTTCGGGGACTCTCCTCATCTGACCACTCCTCATCCTGCCCCCTGCTGTAGAGGGGAGGCAGAAGGGAGCAGCTCAGGGCACAAGGAACTCCTTGGGCTGGAGGTGTCACCCACGACTCGGGGCAAAGGGCTTACCCACTCGACTCCCAGAGGAACCCTGGGAGAGGCAGGTGGGGAGGAACTGAAAGAATCTAGTCCCACCTCTGCCACTCATGGCTGTGAGCTCGAGCGCAATTCCTGCCCCAGAGAGTTGATGTGAGGCGAAAGTGGAAGGAATGTGGGAAATGCCTGGCCCATCTAAACCACTATGAAAACTGGTATCGCTACAACCCTCAGGTCCCTGGCACCAATTTTCAACCCACTTCAAGTGTGAAGGGAATGAAACAAGAGAAAGGGAAGGAGGGCAGGGAAGGAGGGCAGAGCTGTTTCTTTGCCACAGGAGGCTCCTGGCTCTCACCCTGGGGACCCCGGGGACTGGGGTGGGGGTGCAGTGCCATCTCTTGTGGGCACAATGCTGGTCAGAGTAACCTCATCAGGGCTCCGGCCACCCTTCTCTTTCCGGCTGATTGTCCTGTGTGTGTCCAAGGACCACTCCTGTGGGGACAGTGCTTAGGGTCAGGCTGGGCTGCAGCGGGCAGCCAGGGCCATCCAGACCACCGTCACTGACTTCATCCCAAGCCCTGGCCTCCCTGCAGAGGCTGAGGCTGAGCGCGGTAGGAGAGTGACCCACCTCCCAGCCCCACCCAGCCTGGAACACATGCCTCAAACTGTGGCCAATTCATGGCCATGCCTGGCCCATGAGTGCTGCGCCACCAGCGCAGATCCTCTTCGTCACTGGCTGCCTCGATGCTCTGGTGCAGGTCTCGGTGGAGTTCATGGAATCTGTGGCCCGAGGCACAGCCTCAGACTGAGAAGTCCTGGGCCCCTATACCCGGCAATCCCGTCCAGCCCAGCTAGAACCCAGCGGAGAGGGAGGGGAGCCAGCATTACCCCAGATCTCCACACCCACCCCGCAGGCCATACTTCTCACTGCTGGAGAGGTCAAGGTGCTGGTGTAAGGTGAGCAGCATATCCTTGAAGAAAAGAAGCCGCTGGCGCTCAGCGGCCTGGCAGGTCTCGAAGGCCTGCTCCATGTCCTCCATGTAGCGTGGGGTGTAGCGATGCAGCTCTGCCAGTGTCTGCTCATACTGGGTTTTCGTCTGGATGGGAGGGGATAGGGTCTGGTGAGGACAAGACCTTTATCCACGCAGGACTCCACCAGTATTTACCAGGCACTGCCCGGATCTAGACCCCGGGCTAGCCACCAAGGGCCATCAGTCCTGAGACCCAGCTCCTGCCCTCAAGGACCCCAGCAGCCTAACAAGGGAGGTGACATTCTGGCACAGCAAATGTCAGAGGCTGGTGGAGAGTGAGATGAAGTCAACCTATGGGAAAGGGTGGGAGAAATCAGAAAAGGCTTCCCGGAGGAGGTGGCAACTGAGCAGCACCTCAGAGGATGAGGAGGATTTACACAAGCGGAGCAGGAGGAAAGGGCACTCGGGCGAGCAGGCAATGTGGTGCGCTGTGTAAGAAATGGAGCTGGGGGTTCTCAAGTGCTAAAGTCATCCCGGTGCCTGAAATTCCAACATTTCCTTCCCTTGGCAAAGCATCACCTTTTCTCGGGTTTCTCCTTTAAGTGATCATCTGGAGAGAGGGTGGCAGGTGAGGATTAGGGCAGTAAGCGTGCTGCGGACTGGAGAAGGCATTCAGGGAGCAAGATTCATTCGGGAAGCCTTGCCTGGGGCCAGGGGGCAGGGACCTGCGGCCTGTACCTTCTCGGCCTCCTTGGCACAGCGCTCCACCCGCTCCTGCAGCTTGCGCAGCTGCTCCTGGGAGATGGCGCTGTCTGCCTTCGCGTGGCTCTCCCGAGTCTGGGCTGTCTTCTCATCCTTCCGGGCTGCGTGGTAGTTCTTCTTGGAAGCCTCGACCTGGCATGCATGGGGACAACTCTAGGCCCTGGACACCAGTCCCTGGTCCCCTTGGAAGGGGCCTGCCTCTGCCGCCCATCCACCCAGGCTCACCTCCTTCAGCCTCTTCAGCCAGGGCTTCTGGGCCTTGCGGAAGCCGTCCTCGGCAGCCCGGCTCTCGCGGAAGCCGCCCAGCACGGGCCGGTGGAAGGCACCCCGCTGCCAGGCGCGCACCCGCTCGCTGTCCTGCCCCTGCAGCTTCTCCCGCACCTCCAAGTGCAGTGCACTCAGCCGCTCCGCCGCCGTGAAGAAGGCGTGCCAGGCCTTCTCCAGTGTGCCGTACTGGGGGCCTGCAGGGAGGTGTGGGGCTTGGGCCAGGCCTGGGCACCACCTAAATCAAGCCTGTTCCCTCTCATTCGGTGCTGCCCTGGGTGCCAGGCACAGAGGCACGGGGGGGCGGTGCACAGATGAATGACAATGCTGTCAGCTGGGGCTTACTGAATGCCTACCCTGTGCCTTGACATATCTGAGTCCTTGCCTCAACCACCACCGTCAAGGACAGTGTCATTGTCAACATTGAACAGGCAAAAAAACTGAGGCCCAGAAAAGTGATGTTAACTCGCCCAAAGCATTATAGTTACAGGTGGAGCTGAGATTCAAACCCAAATCTGTTGTATAACTGCTACTGTCCATTGCCTCAAGGGGAGAACCAGTGTCTGCCCTCCAAGAAGACAGCTTGTTGGGTGGAAAGATCCCAAACTCCCAGTCAGAAGGCCTGGGCTTCCTAGCTGTGTGACTTCAGGCAAGTCCCCGAGCCTCTCTGAACTTCCAGTTTCTCCTCTAGGAAATGGGTAGAACAGGACCATCTCCATCACAGAGTTGTTAAAAATACCAAAGGGACTCACGAATGTACTTTGCAAGCTCTAACACCACAACGCCAAGGATAACCAGGAGGATCGTCCCTCTTTAAGGAGGTGAAAGCCTCAAACTTTCCACAAGATGTACAAAAAGAAGCTGCCCCGATGGTCCCACCCTCGGCAGCACTCCGCTCCCTGCCAGGCCTGAGTGCCGGCTCACCCTTCTCCACGGTGCCCCTCCACTTGCGGGCCCAGTCGGCTAGCTGCTGGGCATAGGCCTTCTCGATGCGGGCACGCTCCTGGAAGCAGCTGACCAGGTCCCCGCACAGCCGGTGCCCATCCTCCACCCGCTGCACCGTCCGCCTGTAGTTGCCAGCCTGGGACATACACGAGAAGAGCAGCGTCACCAGGGAGCAGCCCCCTATCGGGCTGGGGCCGTCAGCTAGGCTCCTCCCCTGCACAGAAAGCTGAGCCCAGAGAGGGCTGGGCATGTTAGGGCCACTCCCAAACCCAGGACCCCGCTGCTCACCTCCCAGAAACTGCCCCCTAAGGCTTCCCCTCCAGCGTCCTCTTCTGGAGCCATGGTGTCCCCGCAGCACGGAATGGTGGCAGATTTGGGGCTGTGGAAGGCAGACAGGTAAGCAGGAAAGCTGGACATACACTTTGGGGGGTAGGAAATGACCCCCTCCTATCTCTGGGCCCTGCCCACCTGCCATCGCCACCACCCAGGGAACCGTCAGAGCTAGGACTTAGCAGGCAGGAGGCTGAAGTCCCCACGAGGGGCCAGGCTAGGGGCAAGGAAAGCGGTTTCAAAGCCCCTCCTCTCACCCTGGGTCTGCCCTTCTCCCCCGCCCCCCACGTACCTGGGGCCTAGAGATCACTATGGGGAGCTGGGTGTCCAACTCTCAAAGCTGCCACTGTGACTCTGCCTTGAAGTTAAGAAGAGCAAAGCAGAGGGTGAGGGTGGGGGCCTAGAGCATCCAGGGCGGTGCCCAGCGGCTCCCCCGATATAGCAACTGCTGTCAGAAGCGCCAGATTCCAGGCAGGAGAATGCCAGGCAGGTCACACGATCCAGCTGGGGATTAAATGGCAGGCGGGGGTGGGTGGTGGGCAGAGAGCCCCACTCCCCCAACTGCAGATGAGAGAAGAAGCCTGCCCAAGCCAGGGCCCCTGATGCCTTTCCTTGAACGACAAGGCGACCCTGTTACCGCAGCAGGCCGAGTGGGAGGGTGCCCAGCCACATGCCACTAGCTCCCTGTGCTGAGAAGAGCAGAAAGGGAGCCAGGAGGCTGAGTCCCATCTTGGCCAGGAAGTTTGAACAAGGGCATAGAACTGTCCCTCTTAAGGAGGCCTCGGCTCCCTCTAAGATGGAAACTCCCTCACCTGTTGGCTTCCACGCCAGGCTGGTGTAAGACTCAACCCAGGCAACGAGTGAGATACGCGAGGGGCCCAGCAGTCACTAGAACACACCATCCCCTTCCACAGCACCCACCAGCGTCCCACGGGGTGATAACAAGCAACTGAATCCTGTCCTCAAAAACCCCAGAGTACGGGGCAGCCTGGGGGAGGCAGACAGGTGGTCAGCCAGGTATAAGAGTGTTCTACAGAATCGCAGAGGGCACGGCGAATTCCAACCCCAGAGCCACCACCTCAGGGTCTAGAGGATATAGTGGCATGCGGCTGCTCCCACGGCCTCTAAGCAGGGTCTCAGCTGTCCCCAGCACTGACTGACTCACAGCCCCTAGAAGGAAATCGCTTCCTCTTCTGTGCAGGCCCAAAGGACACAGCCAGGCCCAGGAGGACAGAGTGTGTCTATTGCCCCCAAAGAAGGGCTCTGTCACAGCATCTCCTCCAAACCTCAAATTGGGGCATCTTCTCCATATTCACCTCCCCTGTCCTTCTGTCCTTGCACCCACAGCCCCTTGGGACCCCTCAGTTGGGGTATATATCCCCCTGGGTTGTGACTGACAGGACAGCATCTGTCCCCATTCATTGACAGAGACTTCTGGGATTCTGATTTGTGTTTCCCCAGGCACGGACATCAGCAATAATTAGCTAAAGAAGAAAACAAATGACATCCACCTGAAGACCAGAAAAACCTGCCAGCTCCAGCAGCTGTAGGAACTCAGCCTGAGTGGGCTTCCCTCTCTGCTAACGGGGGGCTCAGGCCTCCATGGAGACCCACGGAGGATGCAGAGCAGCTGCCCCACCAGGCGCCCCAAGCTGTTCACTTGGCTTCCTCTTCAGCCAGTCCGATTGCCCAGAGAGGACTTGCCAAGCCGATAGGGAGAAAGAGTGCTGCAGCCATAAATTACAGGGCCTCTGGAGCTGTCCCAGCCAGGCCTCAGGGGCCTGGGGCCCCCTGCCTGCTCCAGCCTCCCTGCTCCCTGCTCCCCAGAGAGCTGCCCCCCACCCATTCCCTCTCTCTGGCCCTAGAACAGAGCAAGCTGTGTGTGCAAGGCTGGCATGGCTCCCTCCGGCCTCCCAGAGCAAACACCAGTCCGAGCCCCAGGCGCAGCCAGGCCCCATAGCCCCAGCCTGACCTAGCTGTTGGGGGGCCTTTCGCCACTGCCCCCATTAAGGAGGTTGGCACCTTGTGCCTCCTGACCTCAGCAGAGAGCCAAATCAGTCCCCAGAACACACTCCACCGCAGGCAAGAGCTCAGAAAGCAGGTAAGGCAATCTTCCCAGCTCAGGGAGCCAGCACCTAGTGGGCTGAGAAGTCTTCTGGGGCTTGGCAGGGTCTCCTCACCACAGCCCAGGCCAAAGTAGGGAGTTCCAGGGTTCAGGGAAGAACTCACTCTCGCTACCGGAGGCCAGAAATTACTCTCATCCCCCACCCCCTCCCAGAAGCTGGGGGCATGCCCCTGGGAGAGAGCACAGCCATCCTGCCCTGCCCATCCCTGTGTCCTGAGTCACAGGCTGCGCCCAAGGGCTTCTTCCCTCAGCAACCCCGCCCCCGTCAGGATACAGGAGGGGCGGTCGGCTGGTCCAGAGAGGGGCACTAGGTGGAGGGGCTGGAACCAGTAGCCAGAGCCAGCCAGAAGGTCAGGAGGCTGGGGGAGGGGGTGGCACATGCAAGGGGAAGGAGGCAGGGCCAGGGAGGGGCATAACAAAGGGGCACTCTTAGGAAACCCGACCTGCCGGCTGGGGTGCCCGCTCCCTCATGACGCATTCCAAACCCCGAGCCTCCACACCAAATCTCGGAGCCCAGGGGCTGCGCGTCTCTGGCCTCAACCCTTATGGACAGAGCCCCTCGACAGGCGCCCCTTGCCCGCCCGGCGCTGCACAACTCGAAGCCCGGGGAGCCCACGCGGAGCGGCAGAGCCAGGCCTAGCCATGGAGGCTCTAGGACTTGTTGGCCAAACTTGTTGAACTTGGTCTCGGCGGGGGTGGGGCCTGCCGGTCACCGCCAAGGGGAGGGGGCGCCCCCTGCCTGGCCCGGCCTTGCCGTGGACTCCATACGGTGGCTTGAGGCAGCGGACCCAGGAATTGGGGCTCTTTGCAGAGGGCGAGGGGTCGCTGGGGAGCGTGGCCCCTTCTGGGGCCCCAGGGCAGGCGCGAGGAGGGAGGATTGGGGCCCTCGAGGGGACCGAGGAGATGGTTTGGCCCCGCAGCCTCGACGTTCCCCCCACCCCCCGGCCGGCCTGAGGAATTATGGAGTTAGCGGCGCGGCACATGAAACACCCCTCGGCTAGGTGGCAGCCCTTCCCGCTGTCGCGCAGAGCGGGGTGGCCGGGGGCTCCCGGCGAGGGAGGCGGTTCCATTGCAAACTTCAGGAGCCGCAGGAGGAGAGGGCGGACTCGAGCCACGGCTCCTGCCGCCGCGTCCCCGCGCGTCCCCTCCGGGGCACTCACCGCGTCCTCCCTGGGCCCCTCGGCGGGTGGGGGTCCGGCCACGCTCCGGCCCGAGTCCTGCCGCTCCCGGGCCGGGCCGCCGCCTCCCGGAGCGCGCCGGGCCCTCCCCCGGGAAGCCCGGCCCCCGGCCCCGCCCTCTCTCGCCGCGGTGGCCCCAACCCCAGCAGCCTGCGGCGGGGCTGCGGGGGCTCCAGGCATCGCGGCGACCCGCGGCTCGGGGGCGCGGGCTGTGGGGGTCTCCGCTCCCGGGAGCCGAGCGCCTGGGCCGGCTCTCCAGGGTGGCGCCGCGGGGCTGCAGAGAGTCAGATTTCGGCTTTGCCCCTCCCGGACCTTTGCAGAGCCTGGGAGACCGGTGGAAGCGAGAAGGGACCTGGCCTGCATGGACAGCCTTTGGAGAGGGGTCTGGGAGCCACACTACTTTACATTTTTTACTGAGCACAGCTTTCTTAGACGTTCACTTGGGAGAGCCTCGCAACCACCCCTTTGCAAGCATTAGGTTTCCCCTTGTGCAGATGCAGAAATTGAGGCTTGGAGCCCTTCAGCAGCTTGTCTAAAATCTAGTGGGGCAGGGCCAGGACTCCAAAGCTATGCCCTACCCTTCCACAGCTCTGCCTGCTAATCTGGGGAGCCTTCAGAGGCCTGGGACAAACACGCGGTGGGGGTGGGACAAAAAGGCCTGAGCTCCTCCCCCTCCGTGTTCTTATTTCCAAATATTGTACCACGATTCATTCTCAAATCCCTTCGCCCCTGCAGCCCCTTTATCAGTCTAGTAGATTTTCTAGATCGCCAGGATGCCACCCGACCCTAAATAAATCCCTTTTTTCACCACCCCTTCCCCCTTTACCCCCTCCCCCTGGGGGGGATTTTTCGGAGCCGGCCCGACTGTTATTTATATCCACTGGAGCGGTCCAAGAATGTTCCGAGGCTGACCTAATCGCCACCTGCTCGGCCCTCCCCGCCCCTCCCGCTCCCTCTTGGGCCCGGTGACCCAGCGGCCGTGCCCTGCGCCCGGGAGACAGGAGGGAGCTAGGGCCGGTGGGGTCCGACGCGCCCGCGCTCACAGAGTCTCCGCGCGCTCGAAGGACTGAGCCACCACGGCCATAGCGCCCGCTCTGGGAAGCCGGGCGGAGGTGGGGGCGCTGCTCTGTCTCTAGCACGTACTATTCCTCCCCACCCCCCGCTCCCTGAGGAGTGTGAGTACCGAGTACGTGCGCGCGGATTTTTAAACAGCAGCTTTAAAAATAGCAGAATTATGTTGTTTCTAAATCCGGGAGGAACCATTTTTTGTGGATGACTCCGCTCACAAAATGGAAAGGGGGCTAGAAGAGAATGAATGGGGGTAATTTCAGATGGTAATATTAGCTGTTGAGGGCTCACTTGCTGGGCAGTCCTAGTGGGAGGGTGAAACTGCCGCCCCAAGATGCCTGTGGGGCACCCAAGGCACGCCACCTTTGTCCTGAGCACTCTGGCGGCGTTTGGCAAGTCATTCTGAGTAGTGGATCTGAAACCAGTTTCAACACCCACTCTCTCTGGGGACTTGGACCAGTCTCTTCTCTCCTTATCTGTTTCTACCTTTATGACAGGTGACCTCCTGACCTTCCACTGGGCCTTGAGCCCCAGCTAATTAAGATTGTAAAACAATTGCAAAAGAGAGGAGCTGGGGAAACCAACGTCTAACAGTCATGGTGTTTTGAGTATTATTTAAAATCAGTTAACATCCCACCTAGCGCCAGAAGGCCTTTAGGCACCTAGACTGAAGTGTGAAAACACAAGAATGAGATTAATTACAGGAGTTGCCTATTAAAACCTCATTAAAAATAAAGTTGGCAGCCAGGCTCTGGGATATGGGGAAGCCAGGCCATAGAGAGACTCGGAAAACAGGGCTGTTCATCAGATGACAAGGAGAAGGAGATGTGGAGTGGAAAACATCTGGCTTCCCTTGGGTTCAAATCTGGAAGCAGAAAGCAGAAATGATGCAGCTGATCTTAATTGCCCCTAAGGTACTGTAGGGGAAAAAAAATAAACCAAAACCCAGAACATACTGGGCTGCTTCAAAGGTAAAAGGAGACAGAGACCTGCCCTTGGAAAGCCAGCCCCCAGCTAGTGCTCCTCCCAAGGGCTCAGACTTTATGCTCTATGGCCAGAGTTCCTAACATTTACCCTGCTCCATCAGAGCTGTCCACCAACCCAAACGGAGTTCAAGATGAGATGCCCAGGGTCACAGGGCTGAATAAAGACAGAAATCTAGCAAGGCAGCTTGGCTCAGGGCACTAACCTGCCTTGGAAGCAGGTTGGTCCACAGCCACATATCGCCCTGAACATTCACAGACTCACCTTGAGTTTCTGGAATGTCCTAGCCACTGCGCCTTCATTTGTTTATTTATCTATGCATTCATTCATCCAGCCAAGAAAACATTTGAATTTTTGCTCTGTACTAAGCCTTATGCTAGATGTTGAGGATACAAAGATAAATAAGGCAGAGCCCTAAGTGTACAATAGTGATGCAATGTGGATACCAAGTTCTGGGGGAAAACAGAGGCAGGAGAGACCACCTTTGACAGGACATGACACTTGATTGGTCTGGATCAGTTGGAATTAGTCATGTGGAGAGGCATTCTAGGCAGGAGCATCAGGGTGTGCCAAGCCCCAAAGGTGTTAGCATATGACTCTGTGTCCTAGGAATTCAAGACAAACATGTGTACAAGTGCACAAAGAGGTACAAGGATGTTTGCATACAGTGTTGTTTGCAATGAGGGAAAACTGGAAATAAATGTCCATCACAAAGGCGGGAGGTGAATAACCTGAAGTTCATTCATGCTATGGATTACTCTGCAACGATTCAAGGACAAGGTAGAGAGAGATGCATTCTTATATGAAGAGCTCCAAGACACTGTTGAGGGAGAAAAGCAAAGTGCAGAATGCAGTAAATATTTAGAGAGAATATACACCGAACTGGTTTTGGTAGTTATCTCTAGGGAGAGATCTGGAATTGGTAAGGGACATTTTTGTAATGTTAGAAAATTTACGATGAGAATGTACCTATATGTAAATTGTGTAAATAGAATAAAGAACTGGGGTAGTTGTGGTGAGTGGGTCTTTGTGTCTAAAACAGTGCTGTCCAATGGAATTTTCTACAGTGGTGGAAATGTTCTATAGCTGAGCTGTCTAATATGATAGCCACTAGTCACATGAAGCTGCTGAGCACTTGAAATGTGGCTAGTGTGACTGAATAAATAAATTTTCAATCTAATTTAAAATGTTTTAAATTAATAATTTAACAGCTGGCTCCAGCTAGTGGCTACTGTATTGGACCACGCAGGTCTAGAATATCTAGAATAGTGAGTTCATGATGGGGTAGAGGCAGATGGAAGATGAGGGTGGAAAGATGGGCTGGGATTAGATGGGGAAGATCTGCAAGCTGGGCTAAGGAATTTGGACTTTATCCTATAGGCAGTGAGAAGTGTGAATGGGAGACAGGAGGGAACGAGGGAACGAGATCAGATTTACCCTTTTAAAAGATAACTCTGGCTGCCCAGTGGAGGTGGAGGGTAGATTAGAGCAGGCAGAATACTACAGGCAGGGCTGTCCCCTCTAAAGGTTGCCATGTGAGCTTCCCTCTGTGGCCTCTGGACATTGCCCCAGCATTCCTGACAGGCAGCTGAGTAAAGTATTCTGATTTAACAGTTATGTTTTTAAGATCTCAGGCAGCCCCAGGTGTAAAAACTGGTCCGAGTTATTGAGAGGGGTTAACCTCAGTGGGGAGGCTGTTTCTGGGTTAGGATGGCAGGAAGAACAGCACAGGGATGGCACAGGGTAAAAACGCATAGCAGGTTTCAGAATGCAGCCTATAAAGCTGCTCCAGGGTCAGGAATTTGCCCCGGGCAGATTCTTTGGAAGATATCACAGGGTTGGCAGGAGGTGCCCCAGGAGTTGCCACTGTGTAGCCCAGGTTTCAGCTCTGTGGGCTGGGGGCCTCTGCTCAGGTAGCCTGACGTAGTCCCTTTGGGCCCTTCCCTGAAATCCCCTGGGGGCCTCCTTGCTGGTGAAGGAGTTCTAGTAAAAGACCCATTCATTTAGCAGGCTTTCAGGGCACATCCACTGTGTGCCTGATACCATGCTCAATGCTCAATTCAAAGAAAGGAGACAAGATCCCTGACTTCATAGAGTTTTCCACTAGAATCAAAGGTCCGAATACATAATTACAAATTGTGATGTGTTTTAAAGGGGGAAAAAAAAAGGGTGTTATGAGGGAATAATGGGAGCATGACTTCGACTTGGGAAGGGGCAGAGAAGACTCCTCGGGAAGTTTAAGTCTCTACCCAAAAGACCCAAAAGATAATGGAAGTTAACCAGGTGATAGGGGACCTAGGGCAGAGCGTTCCAGGCAGAAGGACTGAGGACTGATGTGTGCAAAGGCCCTGAAATGGGAGCATGACCTTCTGGGACAGAAGGGCAGGGTGGGCAGGGCATGGGGAATGGGAGGCAGAGGCCCAGGACCAGGCAGGAGAGGCAGGCAGCACCCAGACACTGCCAGGCATTGTGAGTTTTATCCTGAGAGTGGGAGGGGACCCTTGGAGGGACTTAAGCAGAGGCGTGAACTGAATGGCCTTTTTGGATGTTATATAAGGAATGGATTGGGGCAAGGAATCAGCAAACTATGGCCTGTACAGCCCATAGGCTATGAATGGTTTTTACATTTTTAAATGGATGGGAAAAAATCAACAGAAGAATAATATTTTGTGACACATGAAGGTTACAGGAAATTCAAATTTCAGTGTCCATAAATAAAGTTTTATTGGAGCATAGCCATACTCATTTATTTACAAATTGTCTCTGGCTGTTTTCACGCTCCAATGGCAGAGCTGAATATTGTACTTGCAACATAAATTGTATGGCCCACAAAGCCTAAAATATTTACTATCTGGCCCTTTACACAAAAACTAGGCTGACCCATGGATTAGAGAGAGACAAAAAGCAGGGAGACCAGTTAGGAGGTGGCTGCAGGCATCCAGGGGCAAGTTGATGGTAGTTTGTTCCGGGGTGCTAGCTATGCAGGTGTGAGAAGCACATGGATTGAAGTAGTATTTGGGGGAAAGAACTGCTAACACTC